CTAGACTCTAACGTTTGTTTTTTCTTGCAGCTGCCAAGTATATTGGTTTCATAGCTTCAGTTCCTCGCTGTGAAGTGAAGGAAGCCATTTCGTTCTCGAATGCACAGATTGCTGTGATGTAAGGAAACTAAAGTTAGCATAAAGTAAAAATAGTCTTTAAGAACAAACCGTATTAGTAAAAATGGTAGAATACATAAAATACATAGAATACATAGAATACACAGAATACATAAAATACATAATACTATGTATTTTATGTATACTATGTATTCTATGTATACTATGTATACTATGTATTTTATGTATACTATGTATTTTATGTATACTATGTATTCTATGTATTTTATGTATTCTATGTATTTTATGTATTCTGTGTATTTTATGTATTCTATGTATTTTATGTATACTATGTATTCTATGTATTTTATGTATTCTGTGTATTTTATGTATTCTATGTATTTTATGTATACTATGTATTCCTATGTATTTTGTGTATTTTATGTATTTAATGTATTCTATGTATTTTATGTATTCTATGTATTTTATCTATTTTATGTATTCTATGTATTTTATGTATTCTATGTATTTTATGTATATAGTATTCTATGTATTTTATGTATACTATGTATTCTATGTATTTTATGTATACTATGTATTTTATGTATACTATGTATTCTATGTTTTTTATTTTATGTATTCTATGTATTTTATGTATTCTATGTATTTTATGTATACTATGTATATACATAGTATACATAAAATACATAGAATACATAGAATACATAAATACATAGAATACATAGTATACATAAAATACATAGAATACATAAAATACATAGTATACATAAATGCATAGAATACATAAAATAAGAATACATAAAATACATAGAATACATAAAATAGATAAAATACATAGAATACATAAAATACATAGAATACATAAAATACACAAAATACATAGAATACATAAAATACATAGTATACATAGTATACATAAAATACATAAAATACATAGTATACATAGTATACATAGAATACATAGTATACATAAAATACATAAAATACATAGAATACATAAAATACATAGAATACATAAAATACATAGAATACATAGTATACATAAAATACATAAAATACATAAAATACATAGAATACATAAAATACATAGTATACATAAAATACATAGAATACATAAAATACATAGTATACATAAAATACATAGAATACATAAAATACATAGAATACAACTTCCATAAACTCCTTATTAACAACCACAGTAAAACTTGAGTTGGACTAGACTTGATGTTTTATTACATTACGATCACGAAAGGTTTTATAAGAGTCCTTCTATACAGCTCGAATATAAATAACAGATCTGTGATGGTTGATATTTCCCCATACGTGTATTGTGGGACCCAAAAATATAAACTGTTACAATTTTTTTTCACGATTATTAGAATAAAATAAGGTTCTGGCTGCACTGGATTCGGTGCGAAACACCTTTATCTTGTTTCAATTAAAACATGTACGAACGTTTCGTTTTAAGTCCTTAGATAAAATCCATTTATTACCGAGTTTGTACTTTGTATTTGATTAAAGTTTGGATAATACAACAGAAGTGACTAACTTTAACTTATTAACTATCCAGAGCAGTTCTTGTCGGTTTCGTGGTTTTAATGACGACAGGGACACTCACCGAGTTGTTCTATCTCAAGTGGAAAAATCAGCCAATAGAAAAACAAGGTAAGGATGAATTACTTTAATGAATTCAGATAACCGCTGTTTAAGCCTTATTTATTGTGGTTGACTTTTAGGTAATCAAAATTTAAGTCTTAAGCCTTATGGTTGATTTTCATTACACGTGCTTAAACGTTGTGAATCGTTTTTTAAAGTATACTGAGCTACTTAATATAATCAGCATAAAACACCACAGTAAAAAAAAAACTGTTGATAACTTTTAATCGCGTTAATCTTAACTTGCCCACTGTGGGTTCAGATGATAACTGTCAACGATATCTTTCCTTCAAATCCAGAGGTTAAAAGGTTAGTGGAATCACAAAATAAGAAAAATATTATGCTATCTACATCAGTTGTTTACGAAACCTCAAGTCTAACAGCGAATAAAGCCGTAACTTGTAAGCTACGAGACCTTAATTTATGGATATTACATCATATTAATCTTAGTCGCGTTATTCTTAACTGACCCACTTTGTTTTTCAGTAAGAACATCTCATAACATTATAAAATCAACTAAACGTTTACTGTTCCAATTGTTGCCAACGGGCTCAAGGCTATAGTGCTCATGACGTCGGCTATGTTAAAATATAGAAAGTTCCAATGGAAGTGTGAAGACTCATCACACCTGTGGGCGTTAAATGAATCGTGCTTTGCAAGATTAAGGGATAAAGGATTATGTTTTGCTAGATTAAGGGATATAGAATTATACCTTGACAGATTAAGAGATAGAGGATCATGCTTTGCCAGATTAAGATAAAAAAAGGATTATGTTTTACCAGATTAAGAGATAGTAAAATATGTTTTAATAAATTTGATGTTTCTAAACTTACTTTGATGTTTCTAAACTTACTTTGATGTTTCTACCCTTACTTTGATGTTTCTAAACTTACTTTGATGTTTCTAAACTTACTTTGATGTTTCTAAACTTACTTTGATGTTAACTTACTTTGATGTTTCTAAACTTACTAAACATCAAAGTAAATTTAGAAACATTCTTTTCTTTCTTTCCTTTTTTTTACAAAACAATTCTTATAAAGAATTCATTATAATACTTTTTTATTTAGTTGATATGTATATTTTAGAATTCCTGTAATTACAGGATACGCTGTACAGTTGGTGTGCTCCTTCTCCGTTCATTCGAACATTCAAAACCTCTTTAACACAAGATCTTCTGTCGACAATTTACGAGCCTTACACGGTTTGAAGTTTATTAGTATAAATTGGATCGTCTTGGGTCATACCTACATATACATCAACTTCCAGATAATTCGTAAGTATATTTTACGTTTTTAAAATAAATAAAGCTTGTATTCAGCAAAATGATTTGGCGTGTGTATCTGAAACCCAGTTTCTTTGTTTGCTCGTTTTGAATTTCGCGCGAAGCTACTCGAGGGCTATCTGCGCTAGCCGTTTCCTAATTTTGAAGCGATAGACTAGAGGGAAGGCAGATATTCAACACCACCAACTCTTCGGCTATTCTTTTACCAATGAATAGTTGGATTGACCGTCACATTATAACACCTCCACGACTGAAAGGGCAAGCATGTTTGAACCCGCGACCCTCAGATTGGGGGTCGAGTGTCCTAACCACCAGGACGTCTAAAACCCAAGAAAAATCGTTCTAAATTCAGAATGATCATTTGATATCTTGTTTATACGTTATTTAAAAAAAGTGGGGGTAGGGGCTGCTGTGTGGCTCATTCCCTTTCGTTTTGCATTTCAAAATTAAGAACGGCGGCCATAGACGTAGGGGCTTGATTTTAACCGGGGGAGAGGGGGGAAGCAAGTTTTACCCGAAAATAATAAAATCGACCTTAAAATCATATACTATAAGGTTTAAAGTCACTTGAAAAAAAAATAGTTCCAATGACTTTCATGCGGAGCAATACGGCGCTAAAGGGTTAGAAAGGTGTATGTGAAAACGTCATGTGAGGGTAATATATTTTCGGAAAGGCATGGTCAGTTTGCAAGTATAAAAGTTATAGAAGTAAGTATAAAAGTTATAGAGCTTTTGCCCGAATATTTTGGGTAATTTTTGCCCCAAAAACTATTTGGGCCAGAATATGGGGGGCAGTTGACCCCTTGACCCCTACCCCCCCCTCGTACGCCTATGACGGCGGCAGATAGCTTTTTTAGTAGCTTTTCCATAAAGACAATATACGACAAATTTGCATGATTTTAACAATAGCCTAGCGAACTATTGGCCTAGGCTTGCTGACGTCAAATTCCAGAAAAAAACGTTAATTGGTTGGATTCAGCTTAATTATGCAGGAAAATGTTTTTATCGTTATTTCACCAGATAACCAGTTTAAACCAGATCAACATCTAAAAATGTTTGCGCTCTAAGGTGCGCTAGTTATTACTTCCCATATTGACATAAAAAAAAGGCTTTAACCCTTAAACACTAACAGACAAAACAACATACTAAAAATTTTCAACAGGCGAAAAGGATTACTATGTCTCTCTCTCTGTGTTGGCCGAAATAGACCCCCTTGGTTAGCATGTCGGTCAATGGCTGTGCTGGGTTATCATTCAGACTATATATATGCTGTATTTGCGTTTCATGCGTAGAAATTATTCATATTTTGTTAGAGTTTCTTTTATAAACTCTAAATAGAAGAACAAGAAAACTCTGCAGGTAGCGATATCGAGAATGGACATAGTGTGGTTGAAATACTATTGTACTTCGAAAAACCGTAAAGAACCAAATAAAGAATGTATTATGACAAGTATAATTAATCATCAGTAACAGTAGTTTCTCTTCCAAAGTATAAGAAATATTTCTATATTTTTTTTCAGGTAATTTAAAAAGAAGTACGAATTTCCCCACTGAATTTGCCTTTCAAGCAATATCGAATGGTTTCGTTTCGGTAGACACGTTTTTCTTCGTGAGGTAATGCTATCAGTTCTTCTTTTTTTTTTAATAACATAATTAATATAAACTTGAAAATTTCTAGCACATACTGGAAGGATTTAGACATTTTGGCAAATAAAGTTAGGAAAAGAAAACGACCTTTTCTCTCCAGATAATAACGAAAAGACGAATATTTTTACGTCAAACAGTTCTTGTGGTACTGGTCTTTATGAACCCGCAAGGGCGAAACGTTGGCTGAAATAAAAACCTTTTTTTTTTTTTTTTTATTATTTGAAAAGTAGAGTTCATTTTCTCCTAACATTAATACAAACTTAATCTAATTAATATTCATTCTTAGTCCATTTAATTAAGAATAGTCGACATATCGGGATCTTTAAAGTTTAAGTGTGTTATCCAATCATCAGATTTGTGTTAAATGCTTCGTCCAAACCTTCCAATATATACATCAGTAATGAAAACAAGACATATTTGAATATTTTCTCAACTGTTAAATAAGTTATTTACGTACTGATCCATTTCCAACAAAGATGACGTAAAAACAAATTTTATTCAATATATGGTAATGAGCCCTCTCTTTAACAACAAAAGATATGGTAATGAGCCCTGTCTTTAACAACAAAAGATATGGTAATGAGCCCTCTCTTTAACAACAATATATGTGGTAATGAGCCCTGTCTTTAACAACAAAAGATATGGTAATGAGCCCTCTCTTTAACAACAAAAGATATGGTAATGAGCCCTCTCTTTAACAACAATATATATGGTAATGAGCCCTCTCTTTAACAACAATATATGTGGTAATGAGCCCTCTCTTTAACAACAATATATGTGGTAATGAGCCCTGTCTTTAACAACAAAAGATATGGGAATGATCCCTTCTGGAAATCAAACCTTCAAACGTGGGTTTAAAATCTATTGGTTTTTAGGCCTACTTACCTCATTTGGTTCTTATATTTATGGAACAAAACTTCACCTTCAAGTTCAAATACTTTTTAATATGTCCTCCCCTTTCGTTGTTTTGTTACTACTTAAGATGAGCTATTACATTATAAGCTGTTACATTGTTGTTTATTTGCATAGAAAAGGGGGGGGGAGTATATTTTTCTCTTCCTGCCAGGGGATCTCAACGTTCATTCTAAAACTAGACACTTCCTTCAAACATTAACCTCAACCTCTCAGTTATTTGGTTTGATAATTCACTGTGGAAACATTGAGTAATTTCTATATTGTACATTGTTTTCTCCCTGCAGTGGTTTTTTGGTTGTTTACACGACCTTCCAAAGCGTCAAGAAAGTCAATGGAAGATTCAGTATTCCCGTGTTTCTCATGCACCGATATCTTCGGTAAGTACCTGCACTCTGGCGTTCAAAGTTTTAACTAACACATAATGGACGAGCTTTGTATATCATAAACTCGTGAACGGTTGGTTGCAAGGGCTCAAAATTTTCAGTCCTCCATCGTTTTGAAAATACAAACAAAATATTTATATTTTTTTCTAATTCTGACAGAAAGGTATATTAATCTTTAAACTTTATTTTAAAATAATGAAATATATAAATCTAGAGCAAAATAAACTGAATGAATGGATCGAAGTGAGAATTTACTAAAGAACTTCGAAGTACAACATAAGAATGGCATTTTATAATTCGGTGTTTAAATATCAATTGTTTCCAAAGTACAGTTTCTACAGCAGTTCATCTCGGGCCTTAACGAAGAGAAATTATTTGTTTAAACTTAAACACAAAGTTACACAATAGGCTATCTGTACTCTGCCCACCATGGGTATCGAAACCCCGGGTTGTAGTGGTGTAAGTCCGCAGGCATACGGCTGTACCACTGGGGGTTAGAGCAATTTAAAGAAATTAATGGGTTAATTTATTGTAAAATACTATTCTGTAGAAACTATAATAATAATAATAATAATTATTGTAAAAACTATTATTGTAATAATAATTATTATTATAA